ATCTTCCAAAACTGATTCAGGAAGAAATAGTAAATTTGAACAGACCAAGTACCAGCAATGCAACTGAATCAATAATCAAAAAACTCCCAAAAAACAAAAGTCTAGGACCATATAGCTTTACAGGTGAATTCTATCAAACAGTTAAATAAGAGTTAATACCTATACTTCTCAAACTATTTCAAAAAATAAAAGAGGAAGGAATGCTTCCAAATTCAGTCTATGTAAGCCAAACCAGATAAAGATACAACAAAAAAGAGAACAACAGGCTGCTATCTCTGATGAACACACATGAAAATATCCTAAGCTATGTTAGCAAACCAAATCCAACTGTACATTAAACAAATCATCTGCCACAATTAAGTGGAATTTATTCCTGGGATGTGAATGTGGTTCAATATTTGCACATCAATCATTGTGAATCATCACATCAAAAAGAGAAAGAATAAAAATCATTATCATTTCAATAGATGCAGAAAAAGCACTTCACAAATTACAACATCTGTTCATGATAGAAACCCTCCACAAAGTGGGTTCAGATGGAACATACCTCAACATAATTAAGGACATATATAAAAAACCCACAGCTAACATCATCCTCAATGGGGAAAAACTGAGAGTTTTTCCTCTAGGATCAAGAACAAGAAAATGTCCACTCTCAGTTGTTTTTGTTTTAAATATTTATTTATTTATTTATTTTAGAGAGAAAGAGTGAGCATGTGGTGGGGGGGAGAAGTGCAGAGGGAGAAGGATAGAGAATCCCAAGCAGACTCCCAGCTGAGCACGGAGCCTGACAGGGCTTGATCCCACTACCCTGAGATCATGACCTGAGCTAAAACCAACAGTCAGATGCTTAACCAACTGAGCCATCCAGGCACCCCTGTCTACTCTCAGTTTTATTCAACACAGTACTGGGAGTCTTAGCTACAGTAATCAGACAAGAAAAATAAATGATAGGAATCCATATTGGTAAATAAGAAGTAAAACTTTCCCTATTTGCAGATGATATGAAAATCCTACTAGAAGCAATAAATGAATTCAGTAAAGTTGCAGAAAACAAAATCAATACCTAGAAGTTGGTAGTGTTTCTATACACTGTAAATGAAGTAGCTTTCAGAAAGAGAAATTTAGGAAACAACACTATTTAAAATTGCACCAAAAGGAATAAATATGTAAGAAGTGAAAAGTCTGTACTCTGAAAACTATAAAACACTGATAAAAGGAACTGAGCATGACACCAAAAAACAGAAAGATATTTCATGCTCATGGACTGCAGAAATATTATTAAAATATCCATGTTACTCAAAGCAATCTATAGATTTAATGCAATCCCTATCAAAATGCAATGGCATTTTTCACAGAACTAGAACAAGTAATACTGAAATTTGTATGGAACCATGAAAGACTCTGAATAGCCAAAGCAATCTTGAGAAAGAAAAGCAAAGCTAGAGTTATCACAGTTCCAGATGTCAAGATACACTATAAAGCTGAAGTAATCAAAACAGTATGGTACTGGCACAAAGAAGAGACACACAGATCAACAGAATAAAAGAGAGAATTCAGAAATAAATACATGATTATATGGTCAAATAATCTATGAATAAGGAGGCAAGAATACACAACAGAGAAAAGATAGTCACTTCAATAAATGGTGCTGGGAAAATTGGACAGTTACACGAAAAAGAATGAAACTAGACCACTTTTTAACACCACACACAAACTCAAAATGGATTAAAGACCTAAATGTGAGACATGAAACCATAAAAATCCTAGAACAGAGTATAGGCAGTAACTTCCCAGACCTCAGCCACAGCACTATTTTTTCTAGATATGTCTCCTGAAGCAAGGAAACAAAATCAAAAATAAACTATTGGGACTACATCAAAATAAAAAGCTTTTGCACAGCAAAGGCCACCAACAAAACAAAAAGACAACCTACTGAATGGGAGAAGATATTTACAAATGATATATGCAACTGGGGGTTAATATCCAAAATATATAAGGAACTTACACAACTCAACATCAAAAAAAAAAAAATCCAATTAAAAAATGGGTAGATGACATTTACAGATATTTCTCCAAAGACATAGAGATGGCCAACAGACACATGAAAAGATGCTCAACATCACTAATTATCAGGTAGCTACAAATTAGAACCACCATGAGGTATCACTATATACCTGTCAAAATGGCTAAAACCAAAAACAAGAAATAAAGAAGTTTAGCAAGGATGTGGAGAAAAAGGAACCCTCTTGCACTGTTGGTGGGAATGCAGATTGGAACAGCTACTGTGGAAAACAGTATGGAGGTTGCTCAAAAAATTAAAAGTAGAACTATCATATGACACAATAATTCCAGTATTATTTACCCAAAAAACACAAAGACTCTAATTTGAAAAGATAAATGCACCCATATGTTTACTATAGCATTATTTACAATAGTCAAGATATGGAAGTAAACTAAGTGTCCATCAACAGACAAATGGATAAAAAAGAAGTGGTATGTATACACACACACACAGACACACACACACACAGGAGTATATATAGGCATAAAAAGGATGAGATGTGCCATTTGAGACAACATGGATTAACCTAGAGGGTATTATGCTAAGTGAAATACATCAGATAAATACCATATAATTCCACTAACTGGAAGTTTTAAAAATGAATAAACAAACAAAAAGCAAAATGAGATCTATAAATACAGACCACTAACTGGTAGTTGCCAGAGGGGAGAAGGGTGGAGTGTTGGGCAAATTGGTTGAAGGTGAGTGGGAGATACAGACTTCTAGTTATTGAATGGCTAAGTCATAGGAATGAATGCACGGCATGAGGAATGTAGCTAATGATGGTGTTAGAACAGTGTTTCAGGACAGATGGTAGCTACACTTGTGGTGAGCATAGCATAATGTATAGTCTTGTTGAATCACTATGTTGTACACCTGAAACTAATGTAACATTGTGTGTCAACTATACATACATACATACATACATAACTCCTAAAAAATCCCTGAATTTTTCTTTTAAATAAACATTTAATGAGCATGTTACCTGCTGGATTGATACTAGGTAATTTCACCAACAATATCACAGTTAAATAAAATCTTGGTTATTGCTACTCTTGCAACAACTATGTATACTCATTATTCAATGAAGAAAAATATCTGGTTGCTCAAATTGGACCCAATTTTTACTATCTTGAATAATTAATCTACACAGCATGCACGATCTGATTTCACCTGTTCATGCCTGAATGTCATTGAAAAAAAAAATAAAAAGCCTAGAAGAACCACTGGATGGAATCAAACAGAGCACTCCAGGTATAACCCAAAATGGGTTTCAAACCCCAATTTCTCTCTTTCAGTTTCATAACTAAAGGATTCCTTGGTTAGTTCCGTGTTCATCTGAATGTGAAGCAGCTCTCTCGCCAAGGTGATTTTCTCCTGGCAACCAATTCTTAAGTAAATATCATAAGGAGAGTTTATCCACTGAATACCAGTTTGACCCAAATTACAATTCACCTGATTAAATATTAAGAATTAATTTGAAGGGTATGAGCTATTATTAAATATAAGTCAAAGAACCTTCCTTCAATTCATTTCTTATGATTACACCCACCTCACCCTTACAGCTGAACAGCAAGATAACTCTCTACATATAGAAGAGTAGTTCTCATGATTTCAGCTTATGTCTATCTAGACAAAGCATCAATTTTAGTGTGTTCTCTAGTGAGTCATATATGATGTACATCTATGATGGCTCTAACAGGTGGCTTGGAGCTAAGTTCCTGGCTACAAAATGGTTAACTCAAGATATTAGACAGAGACAGTACTTTAAAATTAGGGTAACAGAGGGGCACCTGGGTGGCTCAGTTGTTGGGCGTCTGCCTTCGGCTTGGGTCGTGATCCTGGGGTGCTGGGATCGGGCCCCACATCGGGCTCCCTCCTCGGCAGGGGGCCTGCTTCTCCCTCTCCCACTCCCCCTACTTGTGTTCCCTCTCTTGCTGTGTCTCTGTCAAATGAATAAATAAAATCTTTCAAAAAAATAAAATAAAATAAAATTAGGGTAACAGAGAAATTCAGTCCATATAAAAAAGCAAAAAAAAAAAAAAAAAGTTTAGCCAGGAGAGGTAAGAAGTTTCTGAAAAAAAAATATTTATATTTTTTTCCCATATTTCCCATATTTATAATTATTTCCCATATACTGTATGGAGATCTATTTGAGCAAAGGGGAAGAGAACAAATATTCAACCCTCCTACATGTGACAGGCTGTAGGATATATTAGAAAGGGAATGAATAAGAATTAATTGGAAAATGCAGCTTCCAGTCCAAGTCCCCATTCTGCTGCTCACCATCTCTTTGACCAGAGTTTTTTTTTTTCCTTCCTCTCTGTAAAACTGACAAAAAGGATCCTGACTTACCCACTTCAGGGAATTGCTGAGGGAATCAAAGAGATAATAGATGGAAAATTCCCTCACAGTAGTACTTCACAGACTCACAGTAAAGAACATTCCACCAGGAGTAAGGAGACCTAGCTAGCCTAACCTCTGGCTTGGCCCCAGGGAAGCTGTGTGATTCTCCAACAAAGCATGCACTCTTCTTGAATTTTTGTTGCTTACCTATACAATGTGAAAAAGTCAAATGAAATATTCAAAATAACAGATCTTAGAATCTGAACATTTGGCAGAATACCAGAAATTGTACAGAAAACTTTTTCCCTCCAGATTTTTTATTTCAGTAGAAAAATGACTTAAAGTCAGAGGGACCTGCAGCTGTTGCCAATACCATGTGTCCACCTTTAAAATTTTAATCACAGATTATTGGGGGTAGTCGAGGAGGAAAGTAACTTAACAAGATTTGGTACACCCTTAACTGAATGATAAATGTATTTCAAACTAACTTTGATCAAATTCTACTTGCTTTTAATTCAAGGCTATAGCAATCTTTCATACTCCTTAGACAGTCTGATGCAATACACATTATGAAATTCATTACCCATACCTGAAAAGGCTGCCTGCTGGAAACACTGAGGTGTTTCCTTATCCATCTGTTGCCTTGATTCCCAAATATCTGCCACAACAGCTGTCCTCTTGTGTTACTCCATATTCTCTGGTAGACAGCCAGCCTATAAATGTGCTTTCCAAACATGTGGTAATATACACGGAAGGTACAGCCCTCTGCATTGGTGGCGTTGAGGATAGGGCTGAGTAAAGTAGCTCTGTTTTGGAAAACCTGTGGCTCCGAAGATTCTATGTAGAGATAGTGTCCTTTAGCTGTGCCCAAAGTATTATCCTTCATTGGCCCTGTATTAAGTGTTGAAGTTGGACCCTGCTTCCTGGTCCAATCAAAGTCATCTTCTGTATCTTGTTCCCAGTTACAAATTCCATTTTCAAAGTTACATTGGAGTTCAGGTACTGAAATTGGCATTAAATAATAGCAAAAAAATAATTAAGGACAAAAATATCTACAGTTAAGAACACTCATTGATATTTTGCTCCTGCCAAGGGTAACCATTTTAATTGTTTTTAAAAGGCAACATTAAAGTTTCTAAAAGGTGAATAAATCCTAGATTTACATCAAGTAATATTTTATAGGCTGAAGGCAGAGTTACTTTAGCCATTATTCTCCAAATGCCTTTTATGACCATCCCTTCACCATTTCTAGCACTATAACCCTATGCAAATGATCATGACATCATGGCTGACTCAACGCTACGAACTTCTGGCTCAGTCGATTTCAACCTTAGTAGAACGTTTCAATCACCAGTGAACATTAAAAATCAAAACAAAACAAAAAACGCCAAGTCCCAGAATTTATCTCCAGAGACGTGGATTTTTTTTTTTTTTAATATTTATTTATTTGAGAGAGTGCAGGATGGGTGGCAGAGGGAGAGAGAGAATCTCCAGCAGACTCCCCACTGAGCACGAACCCCAGCACAGGGCTCGATCTCACAACCCTGAGATCATGACCTGAGTCTAAATCAAGAGTCGGACTCTTAACCCACTGAGCTACCCGGATGCCCCCAGAGATGTTGATGTAACTGGTGCAAATAGTGCAGCTGAACATCAGGATACCTCATCATCTCCCTTGGTGATTCTAACATGCAGAACTGAGAACAGTCATATTTTAATAGGGCTCAATCTTCCAGAATCACCTGAGGTGTGTAGAATTGCTTACTCCTTGTGTGAAGCCCCATACAAGGATTAGCTTGTTAGATATGGGGTGAAGCCCAGGAATCCATATTTTTAACAAGCACCTGACAGGATTCTGATGCCAGTGTTTTCCACACCTCATGCTGAAAAACTTCTCCCTCTGGTTCCATCTTGGCCCAGTTCCAAATGTCCTTCAGCGCCAGTGCCAGAATGACCACTCTTCCACCTTCCACAGCAATTTAGCTTTTTCCTCCTCTATTCAAAATCCTACAATATATACTCATTTAATCTGAACTTAAATCTAAACTCTTCTTTCAAGCTTCACCTTTCCCAAATTAACTTCCTGTTCATCCCTAACTATCCTTCCCCTTCGCATCTTCCCGACGTGCCTGAAACACCTCACCCCTCTCTCCTTCTCTATTTATGCTTCCTGCTGTGCTTTGTCTCCTGGAGGTAGTCTTTTCTTCTCACTACATTGCAGCTCCTTTGAGCTGGAGCTTTTAAAGTTTAAACTCCTCTCAGTCCCTAGAAGAATTCAAAGCACTTAGGAAGAACTGACTTGTCCCTTGTCAACTAGACAATCTACCATAATTTCTAGCATAATATAGGAATGTACTCATTTTGGGGGATGTGAGCATTTTGTTGACACCAAGGATTTGTGTAGAATAAATGCCATAGAATGTACATTTAGCATGATTTGGGCAGAAGGAACAGGATTTAGAATAAACAAGGACTTCTACATTTTAGCTTCATTTACATAAGTTAATATTTTTAAAAAATAAATGTCAGCTGTCCTTTAACTATTCATCTTAGTAAATGCACTTGGTGCCAAAGGGGAATAAATATTCTGAAACAATAAACATAAGCATATGTGGATAAATGCAGCCAGGCAAGAACAAATCATCCGTCTTTGAAAACCACAGAACAGGAGCTTAGACCTAATGAAGGGAACCCAGTGAGTAAATGTCAAATGGGAGATGAGCTTTCATTTGACATTTCCTCACTTGTGACTAATCAAGCTCAGTTATGACGTGAACTGGGGACCTGCAGCGCACTCCCGATGTGTCAGTCTTTGGCTGTGGAGCAGAAGGAGAATGTCAAGCTGCTAAGGTTTTTGACATAAAACTGGCACTCAAGCCAATGGACTTTGATATTGCCTGTTTTCATATTGACTGTACGTTCAATCTTTATTTCAAAAGGGAATGCATACACCTGAACCTTTAAATACAAAACCATTTCTCTAAACATAGGGAACTTTAGGAAATACAACAGCGATTTCTGGATGTCTAATGCATTCTGTGTAATCCAGTAATATGTCTATATGGACAGCCGTGAGAGAAATGGACTGTCTAATGCCACACTATTCGCTTTCATTAATATTTAGTCACAAGAAGTATTCTAGTATTATACTTGTACCTGCCATAATTCCATTCTAAGTTAATACTGAGTGGTTTGAAGGATAATTTGCTTGTTTTTAGCAACACAGCAATGTTTTTTTTGAGGAGTAGGATTTGGAGAGCTTCAAAAAGATGAGAAAGCTTTCTAAATCTGCAAAAATAAATTACCTTGAGGATAAGTAACACTTTTGTGTTAGCCATTGTCTAAGTTATCGACTTTATTTATATCCACTCAAGGTATTAGTTGTATAATGAGATGCATGGTAATTCTGACTTCAACCACCTGACTCTATCAAAGACCACATATATGCAGCACTCTCCACAATAATTTATATGGAAATTTCCTATGATATACCAAGCATTTTATGGCTTCACTTTAGTTTATAATTAGCCTCTCAATGTAATAGGCATATAGCTTGAATTTTAAGAATTGTTGCTATTTCTGGACAAGTGAAGACACAAACTCTTTTTCTGACTGATTTTTGTAATTAAAAAAAAAACAGCTATGAGCTTCTGATTCATTTTCAGGAGCAAGTGCAGTGGGCACTATCTGGAGCTAGGTTCATAAAACTGTAAAACATATATAATCATCAGATACCATAAGCTTTCTGGTAATTTAAACCAGAAACTCAAGACTTATCTTTGACAGCCCACTCTCTGCTTCCAAAACATCATCAAATGTCCCTCCTAAATATTTTTCCAAACCTCAGTCCCTCCATCTCCATCACTCTGGCTGTGTTACAGGCTGCCCACCCCTCCTCAGTGGACTACCGCAATGGCCTGCTGATGGGTCTCCTGAATCCACTCTCCTCCAATCCACTCATCACATTGTATCCACAGTGACATGTTTTAATATGCCAATTTTATTAAATTACCTTTCTTATTAAAAACCTACAAATGAAGAGAAACCTCCTTAATGTGGACAATAAAGATCTGCAAATCCGGCCTCCCCCACACTTCTGTCCTTATGCTGCACCCTCTCTCCCCTTCACCTCCTCGCTCCAGCCACATCTGCCATGCAGTCACTTATCAGGGCTTTTGCATAGATGCTTTGACTTCTCATTTTTCAGATCTCAGCTAAGTTATCACCTCTAGGAAGTTCAATACCATTATTATAAAAAGTCACAGATCCCTCTCTGGATCTCCCATCAAAGCTGCCACTTTGTATTTATTTTTTAAATCTTTGAATAACATCGATCTCCTCGATTAAACCGTAAGCTCCCTGAGATCTGAGACTCGGCAGTTGTGTTCAGCATTTTATCTCTAGTATCTAGTTCGCAAGTCTCCACAACAAATATTGGTAGCCCGACTAATTCATCACTCATCAAAGTCATCAACTTTGGAAAAATGCTTCGTGTCTTTGCCTCGATTGGCTAGAACTAATCAAAATCCCCACTGTCAAAATAAGAAGGACCAAAAAAAGAAAAATAATAAAGTACTTACCACAGTCATCCTCATCAGTGTGATCACCACAATCATCTACCAGATCACATAACAGAAGCTTTTCTACGCAAGCCTTGCTGTGTCGACACCAGAAAAAATCTGGCTCTTCACAGCTTTCCGCAGGAAGGGGAAGAGTACAATTTTCAAATCTGATGTCATCAATAGCTGAGACTCCATCATAAATGCCAAGACTGACTTTATCTAGTGACAAATGGAAGGGCTGAGTAAGGCGTCCAAGCTGAATAGTCACCTGTGACCACTGGTTGCCCTGGTTATATAATACTCTCCAGAGTACTGTAGAGTCATTGGAATTTTCCATGTGTAGCTGTAGCTCAGCTGCTCCCACTGACAGGCCATAGTTATAAAACCTGAAAAAAGAGCAAACACAAGAAATGTAAATGATTTATGGCATAGACGAAACATTTAACTTAGGGGCTCTCCCACTCGATCAACAGTCAATTAACAATTAGCTATCATAATGGACGCCTTTATTTCTTGCAGTAATTGTGGCTGCTCATAGGCGAGAGCTTATCTGCTGAGGTGCATACTCTGGCTTGCAGGACCCTGGGAGCCTTTCCCAAGGAGTTCAATCCAGAACAAGGGAAGCAGAGTTAATTAAATTATAATCCATTGTTGGAGGGAAAGAGTCCTTTTCATCTAAAGAAAGAACACAACAAATACTGATAATGTGCTCCTAAGTAAAATGCTAACTGTATAAATCTAATGCAATACCTATTTTTAAAGCCAAACCAGGGGCAAATCATAAAGTCTGGTAAGTGCAGGAGTATGCCTGCAACCACTGGGTTGCAAGGGTAGCTGACCAAGGTCATTAGTATTTACCAGAAGGAAAGCGTGCATCCAGATCCTGCCTGGCTAAAGGTTGGGCTCTGGAGTTTGGCAACTTGTGACAAGCTTCTGCTTCTCTTCAGAATGAACATAAAATGCCCTATTGGGACACAAATACAAATCGTATGTTAGCCGACTGAGTTGACACACCTGCCCCTCAGCCCTATACTAAGTGCTGCATCTGACTAAAATTAAGATTATACAATTAAAAATCAATAAAAGTGATTGTTAGTCAAATTTGTTCTTGTGAAAACTAAATTCATATCCACCTCTAGGTGAAAATGATGCAAAAAGTTAATAATTTCAGTGAATTCAGCCAAAACCTATCTATACTCCCTCTCCACCACCCATAAAGGAGTCATTTCATACTGACAAACATCAGCACAATTCACAATATTCATCTGTCACACTATTTGTCGCGCTAACATAGAACTTTAAATGCTTCTTTCTCTTAACAGACCTGACCAAGGGTGAATGGAAGGAGTAACAGAGAGCCTCTCCTTGTTTCTTACCTTCAGCTGTGTTGTGAGTATGATCCCAAGGTGGAGCCTGTTGCTCAAATTCAGCCGAAAGGTTACTTCTAGAGTTCCATACCCAGTCAAAATTGTCACCACTGATTGCTTCAAACCAACCACAGCTATTTGCTTCAAAGTCGCATTTGGAACCTGAGAAAACAAAATGTGACTCCTAAGGTGGCTCTCCAAAGTATTCTCATACTTTAGGAAGGGTAGAACTCAACTGAAATCACCTTGTTATACTTCTCTAAGTACATTAAAGGACACCTTGGAGGAAAAAAAGGATCCTACCTGATCTAAACAAAACAAAAAACAAAACAAAACAGAGTTGTGCTTTTCATACTGGAAATTGATAAAGCAGAATTATCAATTTAAGAAATTAAATTTTTGGGGCGCCTGGGTGGCTCAGTTGGTTAGGCAACTGCCTTCGGCTCAGGTCATGATCCTGGAGTCCCCGGATCGAGTCCCGCATCGGGCTCCCTGCTCGGCAGGGAGTCTGCTTCGTCCTCTGACCCTATCCCCTCTCATGTGTTCTCTCTCTCTCATTCTCTCTCTCTCAAGTAAATAAATAAAATCTTTAATAAAAAAAAAATTAAAAAAAAAGAAATTAAATTTTTACCAAATATTTTTTCAAAGAAACAGCATTATTAGCCATTTTGGTTATAGAACTGCTAAGGTCTAATTTATTCAGATACTCGCCACTATGACATCATCTGGAAGACTTAATTATTCCTACAGTTTATTTTACACTAAAACATGAAAAGTAGTTATTTCTAAAAAAATTAATATTTGAAAAATCCAGATTATATTTAATATAACATTCACCACAAATTTTGTAAAGCTTAATATTTCTCAAAGGACTGTGTGCATTGCATAATTTGTGCAGGGAAGAATAATTTGAACCACTTTTCAAGTAAATATGTAAGAAATAGTTAATTTCCACAAAGCCATAAGGGCAGGACTGGGAAGTTATAATAATAGTGTTGAATGATAGCTAATATTTAATAGATACCTATATCATAGACCCTGTACTAAACACTTTATATAGATCCAACTTTCACAATAGCCAAATGAAGAAAGTGTTGTTGTTATAGTTGCTTTACAGATGAAGAAAGGGAAGTTCAAGGAAGTTATTAACCTAACCAAGGTCAGATAGTTAGGAAACTGTACAGATGGATTGAAATCCAAAGATTTTCATTCCAGATCTAATATTCTTTCTGCAACTATTGACAATAACTGTTAATTGTTATTTTATTGGAAAAAAAGATAAACCCAAAAGGCATAATCTGAGTTCATTCAGCGTGGACATTCAGTGTTACTATATATCCCAATGCAAAATGAAGCTTGCTCCTATAGATGATTATTGCACTGGAATCCTTGGTCACTGGTTATTTATATCCAAGGATACAGTAATAATTTGCATAGATCTTCCCTTGTAAAAATATTTAGTAAGCAATAAGCTTAGGGAATAAAAGTATACAGTAAGTCACTCATTGAGATTATAAAATTCAAAATTACAAGGGAATTTTAACCTAATGATAAATCATTTTCAATTTTAAAAATGCTTTACCTACACAGGGAGGAAGGTGAGGTGAGTTGTAATATTATAGACATAAAATATTATAAAATATTTATAAATATTATATTATTTTTTAAGTTTCTATAAAATATCTGATTTCAAAAATATACTTGCTTTCTATCAGGTTTCCTGATATGACTGTAGAGTAACTTAAAAATATGACCAAAAATCAATGAGAATGTATGATACTTTTAAAAGGTTGCATTAGCTTTGGGGCACCTGGGTGGCTCAGTCAGTTAAGCATCTGATTTGGCTCAAGTCATGATCTCAGGGTTGTGGGACTGAGCCCTGCATCAGGCTCTGTGCTCAGCAGGGAGCCTGCTTGAGATTCTCTCTCCCTGTCCTTCTGCCCCTCCCCCCAAAATAAATAAATCTTTAAAAAAGCACACAAATAATAAAATGTTGCATCAACTTTCATAAGCAAGGAATAACTATATTTCATTATATTAGGAATCAGAAAAATCAACAAATTAGCTATATTTAGAATGAAGATTTCTCAAGTAAAGTTTACAAATTTGTGGAGAGAAAATTAAATGCTGCTCAACGGTGAAAAATAATAATGATAATTATGACAACTTAGGGATAAATTCTCAGAATATTTAAGGCTATATTTTCAAAGGCCATCTCTGTTTACAAATACATAATATATAAATAATCCATAAGTATACATAGATTCCAGGGGCTTCAAAGTATGTAGTTGCCATTTCAATCCCTGGGAAAGCAATGCTTTTGATTCCTATTTCAGACAATCCAAAAATTTAAAAAAAAAGAAAGGATCCAGGACTGCTTTTATTCAAATACAGAAAGGAAAGGAGTTATTGCTACTTTGGAATAGCTATCCCACATAGCTACCCAGAAAGGGAGCCTTATCGTCTATCGTCTGCTATCCAGGGAGATACTGATGTAGAAATAAATGAATATTCTAATGGTAGATAAATTTCAGAAACCATTGTGGCAATTTTCTAGTTTTCTTAGATAAGGTCCATCAAAAATAGCAATTTTTAACAGATGATTATGTTGTTAAACTTCAAATATGCCTGTCTCATCTACTTTGTTTCTAAATACTTAGATTTCTATACACATTTTAAAAACTCACTTCAGCTGATGTAACAAGTCAGCTGAAAGTAATCTGGTTAGCTGTTAACCAAATATATACTTCATTAGAACAGCTGTTGGAAATTATGTATGCCTTTTCCTGACTTAGAAATACAAGGTGCTGGTACATTTTAATAATTGAGGTTCAAAGATTGTTCACTTTTCTGGAGCCTCATGATCGACTTTCTCAATTATCATCATCATCAGAAACAACATAATTTGTAAGAACAATCGCAGTTATCATTACTTTAGGGTTTATTGTGTACCAAGCTTTGTCTAGGGGTTATTAAGTTCATAACAGGATGCCTGTTGACATAAAGTTTCTAAAAATTATCTATTCCTATGGATATGGGTAAAAAAGCTAGTGACTCTATAGCAGCTTTTCTTATTTTTCAGTAAAATTACCCTTGTTGCCTCTATTACTTATGTAAATATAACTATAATTAGCTATTCCTGAGGAAAGGGTGCTAGGAGGTATTTGGTGGACTGACACACAGCTCCATCACCTTACACCATCACTGTCATGCTGACAGCTTTTCACTGAGACAGAAAAAGATAAATTTATGTAGGAGCCTAGGAACTTTGTGAGGAGGAAAAAATACAGAATCGGATGGTCTTATATCAGATTCACTCAGAACTTCTCTGATGATTTGAGATGATCCCTACAGAGAATCATGTGTAAGAAATAAACATGAAAGGTACAAAGTGTCTGAGCTGATAATTTGGGTCTCATGCAAAGACAAAAATTTATAGAAGAGTGCTTCTTAATATCTACCCAAGGAGGTGAAAAATTTACATCCACACAAAAACCTGTATGTGGATATTTACAGCAGCTTTATTCCTTTTTTTTTCCAGCAACTTTATTCCTAATTGCTAAAACTTGGAAGCGACAAAAGAGTCCCTCAGTAGGTGAATGGTTAAATAAACTGGTACATCCAGACAGTGGAATATTATTCAGCACTAAAAATAAATGAGCTATCAAGCCATGAAAAGACATGGAGGAAACTGAAATGCATATTACTAAGTGAAAGAAGTCAGTCTGAAAAGGCTCCATACTGTAGGCTTTCAACTATATGACATTCTGGAAAAGGCAAAACCGTGAAGACAGTAAAAGGATCAGTGGTTGCCAGAAGTTGGACGTGGGGGGAGGACTGACTAGGTGGAGCACAGAGTATCTTTATGGCAGTGAAAATACTCTGCATGATACCATATTGACAAACAGATTTTACCACACATTCTTCCAAACCCACAGAATGTACAACACCAAGAATGAACCCTAATATAAATTACGGGCTTTGGGTAATTATTATGTGTCAGTGTAGATTCATCAGTTGTAACAAATCTCCCCCTCCAACCAGGAAATGTTGATGTAGGAGAAGGAGGGTGGGTGTGTGGGTGTGTGGGGGTGTGTGTGTGTGCGTATGTATGTATGTAGGGTGGGGAATGTAAATGGGAAATCTCTACTTTCTCCTCAACTTTCCCTCCCCACCCCCATACTGGGAAATGTTGATGTAGGAGAAGCTGTTGGGGTGGGGGGAAGGTAAATGGAAAATCTCTACTTTTTCCTCAACTTTTCTGTGACTCTAAAACTGCTCTAAAAAAAAAAGTCTTAATTAAGTGCTGCAAAGAAAAACAAAACAAAAATTTATAAGAGGAAATATGTTCTGATACATCATGTAGTTGAACTCCAAACTCCCTCTGGTTTCAGCCACATCAGCAAAAGATTCTCAGGTTTAGGAGAAAAAGAGAAAATGGCTAAACATATAGGTGGTAATTGTAAAAATTAGAAACCTAAAGTCCAGCTGAAGGCCAAACTGTGGTTTCCAGAGTGATCTAAACCAGTCAAGACATAACTGTGGTGTGAAAGACATCCATTTATTACATATCACATCGTCTCTAATTCTCTTGAAATACAGAACATATTATTGTCCCCATTTTAGAGATAAGAAAGATAAGGGTGAAAGAGGATTAACACATAATTTATCAGTGTTCATTATTACTGACACAATTTCAACCCAGACCTGATGTCAAAGCCTGTGCTCTTAAAACTACTGCATTTGTAGTTAAAGTAATAATAATGATAACTGACAATTTTAGGGCTATTACATGCAAGCACTGTGCTATGAGTTTTTAATTCAGGATCATATAAAATCTAAATATATATAATGATAGGGCATGCTCTAGAAGTAGATTTTAAACTGTATACTAATAAAGGCATCCCTTGTTTTATTACACTTCACAAATACTTTTTTTTAACAAACTGAAGGCTTATGGCAACCCATAAGTCTATTAGCTCCATTTTTTCCATTTGCTCACCTTATTCTGGTAATTCTGGTCATATTCTGGTAATTCTTGCAGTATTTCAAACTTATTATTATTGTATTTGCTATGGTGATCTATAATCAGTTATCTCCGATGTTACTATAGTAATTGTTTTTAAGCACCACAAACTGTGCCATTCAAGATGGCGAACTTA